TCTCTATAGTTATCACTAAAACACATCAAAACTTCCAGTATTTTTGTAGCTTCTTTTGGAATTATAAATCAACTTTACTGTTTTTGTATTTTCCTTGAAGTGTTTATAGTCCTTTCACCGCGACTTCAAATTTTTTGAGTGTCTGCGTCTCTCTGTTCCCTCACCGGCAAGGTCAGAGAAACTTGAAAATAGCACGTCGAAATAAGAAAGTCGCCGAGAGAAGGCGCAGAAAAATCCCGCCCTTTCAAGCCGCGAAATCCCCTATAATGACCACTAAGCCTACTGGGGTTCTTCCGGCGTCATTTGAATACCTAGAGTGGACACTGAAGGATTTTTTTCCAGTGACATCCAATTAGTTAACGTCTTGCTCGACTTGTGGTTTGCTGGTATGGAAACCTCGGCGAATACTCTCACCTGGGCGATTGCCTACACTTTGAATAACCTTGAAACTCAGGTAAAATCCTGAAAAGTCTAGTGAGATTTCTGAAAGTTTAGGATAAGCTTCACGAAGAGCTGGACCGTGTTATCGGGTCGGATCGCGATATTTTGATGGCCGACAAAAATGATCTCGTCTATGTCAATGCTTTCATCAATGTGGGTTTGAGGAGAAAAAAAATAATTCTCTGAGTCCTTCCGAATAATTAAAATAGCCCTGATTATTGAAAAAAGCGCATTTTTTGAAGTCGAAGAGGCATTCTCACTAGTCAGTGCGAGAAGATCGAAAAAATGGATTAGAAATTTTCCGAAAAGAGTAAAGTGATATTGAATTTTTTACAAAGGGAAAAGTTCAGACTTCTGAGATTTCGAATACTCAATTTTTTTTTTGAATTTTGAATATTTGTGCCCCAAGAAACAATGTACAGTGAATAATCTTCGAAAAAGTTCAAAAATGATAGAGAAAAAGCTAGAAATTTTTTTTTTGGGATCAGTTTGAATATTGAAATTGCTGTGTAATTTTTGAAAAACGCTTATTTTTCATCGAAGTTAAATTTCAAGGCTTGAAGAATCTTAAACGCGTATGGAAGCCCGAAAAATACCAAAAAAAAAGTGTTTTTTTTACAATTGTTTTTCAATTTTTCTGCCTTTTTTTGTGAACAGGTTCTTGAAC